GCCGGAGCACGGTGCCGTCACGGTGTACCTGATTCTCAGTCGATATTTCACAGCTGGCGTGCGCGCACGTGTATAAAACAAAATGGTGGAAAATATCGATATAGACCTTTTTATATCGTTAGTGCAGAGTCGTCCAGTGCTCTGGGATAAGACAATTGACAATTTTAAAGACAAAAATCTAAAAACAGAGGCGTGGAAGGATGTTTGCCGAAACCTGTTTGAAACATTTGATGATAAGGACAGAAAAGAAAAAACTGAACTAGGTGAGTACTAACATTTATTTATCTTGTTTTGAAACCTGTTTGAAACATTTGATGATAAGGGCAGAAAAGAAAAAACTGAACTGGGTGAGTACTAACATTTATTTATCTTGTTTTCATGATTGCGTCGTGGTCTCATGAAGATATATTTTAATTTTAATGTCATGTATGTAAATGTATCTATCTGTAGAGTCACAACTTACATTGTACAATGGTCATATTTACTATACTACACAGACATATCGAATAATTTGAGCGATATCTTATCTTTCTGAACACCGCTTGCTCTCCGGTTAACTGGTTTGGAGTTATATTTTGCTTAGTTGCCAACTAAGCGCGCCGACATCGCTATTAAAATATTTTGAAAATTCGTTTCTTATATCCACTGGATTTGGTAAAGAAACTTCTTCTACAGTTGATTGCAAGTCCAAAAGAGAGTCATCAATATACATTTCTTCGGACATTTTACTTCCATCTCGAGATACAACAAAATTGTGCAATACACAGCATGTTTTGATAATATCTATTGCAAAATTATATTTTACATTTAAAGGCCTATGAAATATCCGCCATTTATTTGCAAGTATTCCAAAAGCACACTCAACATTTCGTCTGGCCCGACTCAAACGATAGTTAAAAACTCTTTGATCTATGTTCAAATGTTTCCCTGGGTATGGGCGCATTAGATTGCTGAGTAACGGTATGCCTTCATCTGCAATAAAGACATAAGGAACGGGTTTTTGAAGGCTTGGTAAAGGCCTTGGAGCTGGTATGGGGAGTCGGTTTTGCAATAATAATTCGTACAGTTTTGTATTATGAAAAATTGTCGAATCGCATTCTTTTCCATATGCTCCTATATCGACGTACACAAATCTGTAATTAGAATCGACTAGTGCCAGCAACACGATAGAATTATAACCTTTATAGTTAAAAAAAAGAGATCCACTGTGGGCGGGACTGCAAATTCGAATGTGCTTCCCGTCTAAGGCCCCCATGCAATTTGGAAAATTGTTTTTTTTGTCAAAGTCTTCCGCTATTTGTTTCATTAGGTCTTCAGTTATTGGCGGTATACATTCAGATAAAAGAATGTCCCATAAAGCACGACATACTTCTCGCACTATTCTGCCGATTGTACTTTTTCCTCGATATTGTGCGAATTCCATATCTCTAAATGAATTTCCAGTTGCCAAAAACCTGAAAGAAGAAAATGTACTTACTTATTTTTTAGAACGAGGTTACTACAATCATTTCTGGATTGCAAATACTATAGATGAAATTACAAGTTTTTAAATCAATGGGCAACTTTTAATAGGTTACCAATCTGTAACTACAAGAAATACCAAGTTATGCTAGCCTTAAAGTATCTTTGCGTAGTAACTTAACATATTTTCATTAATTTTCTAGATTACTTAACAACTAAAGAAAACCAATGGCGACGGTAATTAAATGTAGGTATTCATGAGAATATTAATATAAAATTATTGTTTCAGGAAATGAGGTGGTAAAAAAATGGACAAATATCAAAGACAATTTCATTAAATACATGAAAAAGCTAGAGTCTGCAAACAAATCTGGTGCTGGTGCAACAAAAATTAAAGAATACCATTTGTACAAACAGCTGATGTTTTTGAAAAAAAACGCACCTAATCTAACTGACAGTAGTATATTGGAAGACGAGTCTGAAGATCCAAAGAGAAGTGAAACTACAAGGTCACGTTACCAACCAGCTACAACTTCACGAAAAAGAAAGCACTGTGAAGATGATTTTGAAAATCAAATTATAGAAACATTGAAAAATGTTGACAACAGACATGTATCATTTTTTAAGTCAATTTTACCGTTTCTGGAAAAATTAGACGACCAACAAACATTGACCTATCAAAGTCGTGTAATGCAAATATTGACAGAATTAAATCAACCTACCTATCAATACAATCAATATCATACATCTCGCATTCCATCATCTTCAAGCATCCATGACCAGACTTCACCAAATCCATTCATTGAAGACATATCGAATAATTTGAGCGATATCTTATCAAACACACAGGAGTCCGAATATGATTTTTCTTAAATTACTTATCTAGTATAATCACATATTGTACAACACATTAATAAATATTTTGATTTATGATTATGATTAGTTTATTTTATTTCTTACCTGATAGTTAAACCAAGCATCTCCATAGAATCAACGGGTTTTCTGAACACATATTGTTTTTGTAAACGAGGTGCTATCTTGAAATGTAACTCTTCAAAACTTGATATGGTCATTCTAAAATATTCAAAAAATTTCGCATCCCCACATATTTTCAGCGCTGCATATTTCCTTTTGAAATGACCTCCGTCTTGGTTCATTGTATAAATGTATGGATTTACCCAACACTTTCTTATTTTCTGTTTTTTTTTCATTCGCCGCCTTAGCAACAACATGAGAATAACTTTTTCGCGATTCATAATATCAAGGCACGTCCGAGCACACCAACTGTGAAATATCGACTGAGAATCAGGTACACCGTGATACGGCTCCGTGCTCGGGCACGGCGCCGCACCGTAGCACGGCGACGGCGTCGTGCCGTTGAACGGTGGCGGCGCCGCGCCGTGGTGATGGGGACAGGGCCGTAGTACGCAACGGCGCTCAGGTCTCAAGTTAACTCTTACGGGCTACACCTGCCAATGAGAATGATTATTGAAACGCAACTTCACAGTATTCAGACATTGTATCTTTTATTCAAAATAAAACAAACAATCGATTCTAATAAAAACTAATGTGAAGGATGAATCTGATGCTGTTTAATAAGTTTGTTGATATCAGGTTCCAATTTACTCAAGAACACATCTACAGTAACATGCACATGATTTCTCTTTTTAGTAAGCAGCGTTATCACAGCACTAAAGCCACGTTCACACAAACATGACCATGGGAATGCTATCAAGAATCGTTGAAAGATTGACCACAATCCAGGGTACAATTGCGGGATCGGTTTTTGTAGCCAAAATTCTTGGTAGCCATTTTTTAACTTGATTTTTATTTCCTCGTTCGTTGTCAATTCTGTAAGTTCTTCTTCCAGCTGAGGTGATATTACTGTGTAGACATTTGAAAACGGATCCAACACCCAGTCTGGTATTTCCAAGTTCAAAATATCCTGGTATCGTTCGGTGAAGTCAATGTGGAGATTTTCCTAATGTTGGCAGTAGGCAAACAAGTCGTCGTTACTGCAGGATTCTTTTTGTGTAGAAGCAGTTTGGCTGCGAAACCAGCAACGACATTTTTTGTTTTAATTAAATTAGTTCATCGCCTTGCAGTTGGAGATTCATGTCGTTGAACAAATTATACATCTGTCTGTCATGTAAGCTATATCATTCTTTGACGTAATGAGCTTGTTGCGCAATTCTGTATCTTTAGTTTCCAAGAACTCTATCACAGAGTCAAACAGGTTGTAAAATCGAGTCAGACATTGCCTCATGATAGCTAACGAACATCAGTATGAAACAACAAACGGTTCAAATCTTCGTCATTAATAACACAAAGCTGATGAAATAATCTATCATTCAAAGAGCTGTTACGGATTTTATTGACTGCTTTAATGACGTATTGCAGTGATTGAAATAGTCGTTCACTTAAATTTCTAGCAACCAAATGTTGTCTATGGATAACGCAATGTACAGCAAGGACATCTGGAATTTTATTTTTTTAAGTACGCTATGAAGCATTTATAACACCCTGTCATAGCCGGAGCGCCATCCGTAGCAACTGATATAATATTTTTCAAGGAAATCTCTTTCTCATCACAAAACTTTTACAATGTATTGAATATGGTTTCGCCTTTTGTATCGGTCTCTAAATTTCTAGCAAACAATAGTTCTTCACATATTTTCTCATCTTTAATAAACCTCACGTAAGACAGCAACAATGCTTCATTAGTTGGTAAAGTGGACTCATCGCGCTGAATTGAGAATTGAGTAGTCCTCAGATGATTGCACAATGATTCTTCAATGTTTTCAGTCATTTCATCAATTCGTCTTTGCACAGAATTATTACTCATAGGATTTTTTCGGATAATATCTGCGACCGGTTTATGAAGCGCCGTAGTTATTACTTTCTTTATTTCTGGCAAGTTAACTCGTCTCCGATTTTTGAGCAATTAACAAAGAGATGATGCACGAAGCTCGAAGCCCGTCGTCATCTTGCTTAGCAGCCGTCGAAAAGAGTTTTGCTACACTTGGCTGAGTATTATGCTTCCTTTCTAGATCTTGAAAATATGCTACATTCTTGTTTTTCTTATCTGGATGCATTTTATTGAAATGATCTTGCAGTTTTGAAGGCTGCATTGCTTCATTCGAAAATGTTTTTAGAAATAGAAGGCACAAAGGCGATGATGGGTTTGTGGGATTTTCAATGAATCCGAATTTAATATATTCCGCACAGTATTGCCGTCTCTTCAAAAGAAGAAGCACAAAATTACTTACGACATTGTTTTGTTTTAAGAAATACGTAAGTAAGTGTTGAACTTAAGTACTGCTTATCTCCTACGCGCGAAACCGCAAATGAAAATAAAATAAATATTACGTTTTGTATATAGGATTGCATAAGCAGCACGCACCGACAGGAATAAGATAAACATGCATAAACTCGTTTATCTCATTCGACGCTCAATCGTACTCAACAAGTAAGAACGTATATAAAGTATTCGAGAATTTAAGAACGTATATAAAACATGATTGCCCGCGATCTGTTATCTACGAAAATTACCTATCTAGGAATGCTAATAACTATTAAAATGCGAAACTGTGTGTTACCTTTTTATTTGTTTGTTTGTATCTACTTTCATTTCGAAACGGAGCGACCGATTGACATGATTTTTATTTTATTTATTCAATAAAACGGGACAGATATATGAACTACACGGAGAGAAATATCGAACCGAGTTAGTTTGCGCAATCTCTTAATTAATATTAGTTGATGTTCACAAGTTGTAGTCGAGGGTCGAGAGCTCAGTCGGTATCTAAGTCTTCCTAGATGAAATTACAAATTTCCCCCTAAGCCTCTACACAACGCCCCCATTTTTTTTCTGGGTCTCTTACCACCCTTTAGGCCTGCAGCGCCCACAAGGGGGCGTTATCGCCCACTTTGGGAAATGCTGATTTAAATGATCGTAATTTAAACAAAAAATATATAAATAATTATATGTATAACAGCTTAAGGTGAGCAAATTCCTCCATTAATTCATCGCAATTCGTTGCTATCGCTTTTGATTGTCTATATTAGTCTATATTATAAAATAAAATTTCATAGATTTCTCACAGATGGCGCTACGACAAAAAAGTCGTTAAAACCAAAAACAAATATCTGCAACAAGCACATAGAGAAATTCGTAAGGTCTGCTGGTTCGTTCCGTAGCTCAGTTGAGGCAGTAGCACGATATGGCGAGGTCGCTGATTCGGATGAGATCGAAGGAATTTTTCTTTGCGTTCGCTCTTTATTGTAATAATTCATAACAAACTAGTGAAGTAATTTCACATAATAATTCAATATCATGGTGGTAAAACGTTGCGATATTTAATACACTTACAAGTCTACATTATCAAAAACGGTATGTGGCAAACGTTATTCGAATCTGTAGCTAACACTAGCGGTTACGGCCAGCTGCTAGAAGATGTAGAGCCGATATATCGTATAGTGTGTGTGTCGCTACGGTACCCACATTTAAAATATGTCTAACGCTCCACAAAGTCAGTGTAGCTAGTTATAAACTTGCGATTTATCTTAGTCGATTATTTCAAGGTAATCAATTATAAAACACGACCAGTTACAGCCGAGAATAATATCGATTTTGCTAGGCGTTCATATTCATGTGTTAGTCTATTAGTATCAGGACATCTAGAAAAAAATATGAACTTATTCGATAAGAACACACTCAAAATTGTATTGTTATATCAAAATATTACACACATTGTGGAAACCCGCAACTTTACACGTATGGAATAAGGCGAACGAAGCACTGCCTGTGCTTCAAAATGGGATTAATTTTGTAACTTAAGAGACCAATGCGTCTCTATTTAATTGTTAAAGCAGTGTACAATAAAACAACTCTATTAGTAGCAATAGAGCACCTTGTGAAAGAGTTCATACAGGGAAGTACTGTCACCTTACCTATATTTGCCGCCAAGCAGTAATGTGAGTACTGCTGCGTTCCAGTTTTGATCGGTAATGGTGCTGGTCAAATTACAGACACATGATACTTGTCAACTTATGTATCAGGGTCACGGGCGCAGTGGCAGTTCCCCTCAGATTTTTGCGATTTAAGACTCAATGGGTCGTATTCCAGAACTCTACTCAATACTCAGGTCAGGACTTGAGTATTGCAGTGAGCACTGAAAATCATATTCAAGTCCTTGCCATTAGGGTCGTATTTCCATATCTCGAAATCATACTCAAGTCTGCTCAAATCCTGACTTGAGCATTGAGTAGAGTTCTAGAATACGACCCTGAGTGGCACTGCAACTGTTATGGACAGGCGTGTAGCTTACCATCAGGCGCACGACTAGTTTGTCCCGTCACATGATATTATAAAAAAAGTACAGGAGGACAATGATCCCAGACATCAGAAAAGTAAAAAATAATAATCTCAGTACAGACAACTAAAGAAAACGACCTCAAAAGTTCGTGAAATTACGTCTATTTGCCAAGTTTTATTGAAATCGATTACCAGAGAGTGCGTGAAACAGGATTCATCCGCTAGTTTGCCATCCTTAGGGGTGGAATATTTTCCTCAAATTGAAATGGACCAATCCTGAAAAATAATACATATAGTCGAATTGAGAACCTCCTCCTTTTTTCTGAGGTCGGTTAATTTATTGAATTTTTGGAAGAATTACGCCCAAATTCTCGACAGAAATAAATGTAGGCCATACAAATATTTCTCCGAGCCCGGGAATCGAACCTGGGACCTCTGCCTGGCAGTCCAACATTGTAACCGTTCGGCCACGGAGGCAGTTACCTAACTCCCTAAATATCTACTATTCTGGTTTGATACTATGTCGTTGTGCGAGATGAAATGAAATTAATACATGATAATAATATTAATCAAGATGTCAACGCAATCGACTAAGTCTTACTCGATCAAGGCTCTTGTCTCTTTGCTCTACGGGTGTTTAGTATATTTTTTAACTTGATTAAACTTACCAGTTACACCAGCATGATTACCGCGTCATTTCATGAATTTTATGAGCACAACGTAATCTTAAGTACTATATCAATATCTTTTATGGACATTTTGTTTATTTTTGTAAGTATTTTTCAAAAACAGGATACTAAATTCAAATACAAAATTTTTACGAGTCCACGTAGTAATTCACAGCAGCCTACATCAATTTGGTCATAGATAAGTACTGTTCTACTGTATAACAACCTATAGATATTTAGTGGTCACTAAAAATACATTCAAAGCTTTAGACCACAATTAACTTAGCGTTTATTCTACTTAAGTTAATCTACTGCAAATTCACATCATTTCTCTGTAGTCTGTAGGTACGTATAGTTTATTTTTACAAACAGGAGACGAAATTTATTTTTCACCTCACTAGCTCGGAAAGGCTTTCTTTCTCATTAAAAATC